AGTCGAATTTCATGAAGCCGATTTCCATCTATAACTTTTAAACGGAGGCTAACTGATCAGTTGGTCGAATACATACTGTAGCTGACCATATTAGATTGAATAACTATACTTTCATGCAAAGAACATTGTGCTCGAGTAGCAGAAGTTTCATCGTGGAAAAAGTTTAAAAGCACAGTATTGTTTGTATTGCATTGTATTATATTTATGTATTGTTCATTGGCGCATAAAACCCCCAAATGAACATTCCTTCTAACGAGGTTCACGTACCATACTTCAATAAACCTTCACAAATGAGGTTCACACCCGCCTCCTCGAAATAGGTTCACGCACCATACTTCTACCCGCCCCTCCTCAAAATAGGTTCACGCACCATACTTCTACCCGCTCTCCTCAAATGACGTACACGCACCATACTTCTACCCGCCCCTCCTCTAATGAGGTTCACGCACCATACTTCTACCCGCCCCACCTCAAAATGGGTTCACGTACCATACTTCTACCCGCTCTCCTCAAATGACGTACACGTACCATACTTCTACCCGCCCCTCCTCAAATGAGGTTCACGTACCATACTTCTACCCGCCCCTCCTCAAATGAGGCTCACGTACCATACTTCTACCCGCCCCTCCTCAAATGAGGTTCACGTACCATACTTCTACCCGCCCCTCCTCAAATGAGGTTCACGTACCATACCTCTACCCGCCCCTCCTCAAATGAGGTTCACGTACCATACTCTCAGATAAGGTTCTCCTGCGTAGTCAAGCCCCTGGTGACTAACTCACTTCCTCGCCGTCCTCGTTATCGCTGAAAAAAGTTATCGTCCCCCGACCGGCCCAAAAAGACTAGCGTGAAAAAAAGAAACACGGGGTCGTAAACTCGATGCTTCGTGGCCGCTGGGACTTAACATTCAGCGCGGATCGCACTTCTGTGAAACGGTGGATTTGTTCCGCTCTATGGTGACGCTGGAGTGCTTGTCTAAATTCCCGCCCCAGATACGGCAGGACGGTTGTGCGGCACAAACCTAGGAATACAAAGACGAAATGTGGCAGACGCTTATAGGACAGAATCCTTATGATACATTCGAAATGAGTCCAAAATGAGTGCGGAGATTGATGTAACATGAAAACTCAAACATGAGATATGATGTGAATACTGACTCAATTTTGTGAGTGATTGTGAATTTTGTGCAATCTTAACATTCCAGAAGGATTTCTAAATAAAGCTATTTAAAGGATTCGTTAGTAATAAATTGGAAACTTGTTTCAAATTTAAAAACCGCAGTTAAATGGAGTTTCGATTCAGAAGTTATAATGAAAGGTCCTACATGTTATTCGTATCACTTAAATAAATTCTTGTTCACACTTTCATTCACATGAAATTAAACTGAGGATCGTAATTATTTTAATTATTATTATTCTATGAAACGATTATCGTGGCATCTGGTTCAAACGAATTTCGAGCGCACATTTCACATAAGTCTGATAGCGAGCGAAAAATATAGAGACACGAGAAAGGATGCGAATAGATCGATCGTTCCTATACGAGATATCAGGCGAAATAGTTTTGCATATTGCATAAGATCGTATTTCAGCTTACCTGCCTGTCTGATTGTATTTAATTGGAGATATACAAGAGTTTTCCAAGTTTTAAATACCATTCCGGGATACTCGTGTACGTCGGGTTACCATACAATTCCGGGATACTTTGTACGTCGGGTTACCATACAATTCCGAGATACCCGTGTACGTCAGGTTTCCTTGCCGGGTTACCACTGAACATACGCGTCGGATAGTCGTACCACGACAGGTTATCCAGCCACCTCGAGAAAACGATTTCAATCGAAATGTTTCATTTTCAATATATTTTCATCGCATTTTTGATCAAATTTTGAGTCAATTTACGATTTTACTTAGAATTAATTTGAATTAATTAAATAGAGGATAAAATTTCCTAACAAATTTTTATAGCGCAGCCTCACTGAATGGTATTTAGTGGTCAATAAAGTAATAGAAGTATAAAATAATATCCACAAATATTACCATTCAAGTAACTCATTCAAGCAGTACGGAAGAAAGGATAAAATTTAGGTAGAAGAAAGTTCAATTGTCCAGGGCAGTCAGTATTCACCACGCAGCCAAAAATGATCATCGACAGAGTGCAAAGTTTTTAGTGTCGGGCGTTCCAAGCGAGCTTCTTTCCCACTCAAGCCTGCATTAATGAAGCGCTTTTCATTCATGAGACTTTAATGCAATGAATTCTCGAGAGTAAATTAGATCTTGGCTTGTGCCGGAGGCCTTAAGCGTCCAGCCATGTTGCCAGGCCGCTTGCAGTCGGCCGATGGCGCGATGACAGAGAATAAGAGGGTAATTTCTTGATGCTTGAATAAACTGCGTATAAGTTGCTTGATGGTAATATGATAATGCTTGATAACTGCGGCTATGTAACGCAGAAGTAATTTGTAGAATACTGGTGCTGGAATAACTGTGGTTACGTAACTCTGGGGAAATATGTTGAATGTTGATGCTTGAATAAACTGCGTATAAGTTGCTTGATGGTAATATGATAATGCTTGAATAACTGCGGCTACGTAACGCAGAAGTAATTTGTAGAATACTGGTGCTGGAATAACTGTGGTTACGTAACTCTGGGGAAATATGTTGAATGTTGATGCTTGAATAAACTGCGTATAAGTTGCTTGATGGTAATATGATAATGCTTGAATAACTGCGGCTATGTAACGCAGAAGTAATTTGTAGAATACTGGTGCTGGAATAACTGCGGCTACGAGACTCTAAGGAAATATGTTGATGATGCATGCACGACCTAACTGTTGTTACTTGACTTTACGAAAATATGTTGCATGTTGATCCTTAAATGACTACGGCTACGTGAGTGACTCTAGGGAAATATGTTGAATGTTGATGCCTGAATAAGTGCTGTTACTTGACTCTAAGGAAATATGTTGAATGTTGATGCTGGAGTAACTGCGGGTGCATGGCTTTGGGGTAAAATGCTGATTTTTACGGATGATTTTTTGGGGTAAAATGCTGATTTTTACGGATTTTCTTGTACGGATGTACAAGAAAATTTTTGGCTACTTGTTTTTCATCGTCGCCCGACCGCCCCCAGTCAAAGTGCGTCAAAGTGGGCAATATGCTGTTGCTTGAATAAATTCGAATAACTGACTTTACGGGAAAATATTGACGATTGAACAACATTTTAATCTTTGATTTTTTTGGTACGAAGTACATGCTCGATTGATGAGAAATAAAGGGCGATAACAAATTTATCTTGTATGCGTGTAAATAATATTGTTCATTCAACTTGGATCTCTGTCGATTTTTGATTTTATTAGCAATTCACTTAAGAAAAGCTTTCTTTACGAGTGGCTTTCATAAAAAATGCATCAGCAAGGGAAATTTCGGCCCAGGCAGGCTTAGGCCTGTGCTTCCGTATCACGAACTGGGCGCCTATCAGGACAAGGAAGGCCATTCCTAGGCATGGAAATCAAGGCCGTGCGATTGCGGACCTCTTTTCTAGATTTTTATATAGGCATCGAATTTTTGTCCTCTGCCTGTATTTTTTCTGGAATGTTCCATTTTCGGTAGATAGAGCACAATTTATTTGTTTCCAATGTTATGTAAATTGAAAAACGTAACTGTGTGTTTCAGTTACCACAATTTTTTCTCTCTCTAGGATCTGGTAAGAAATATAGTTTACGAAATTCAGTTCAGTTTTCTAGTTTTCATAATAAAATCACACATAAAGTATTGAATTACTCAGTAAAGAATAACATTAGGATCGCACATCGTAAATTTCGCTACTACTGAACTCAAATTGAAACCTGAAATCAAATCTAAAGTTACAGATCGTTGCCATGATGGCAACCGTAACAATGATTGACAAATATAAACTCATTTTACTGGAATCTAAGTCAATTTACAAAAAATTCCTGAAATGGGTTCGGTATATTGAAGTTTTGTGAACGGTAATTGCGTCGCTATGTAGCCAAGATTGCGTGGTTCTGTCGTTGCCATGCGCCCGGTTTGCATAAAATTGACTTTAAATGAACGACAAATTGTTTTGTTTGTTGTCTCGATGGAAAAATCCCGGCTCTAGGAAATGCTTTTACTTCGAAGCCTCCAAAGGCAAATCCATCATCGTTTTTCGATTGCTTTTGTGATCCCTCGTTATAAACCATGGACTGCTATAAGCGACCAATGACCGGCCAACTGTTATCTCTAATTTTGTTATGGTACAAAAAACTTAGCGGTGTTTGGTTTTCTTATACATCTAAAGATAATAAGTTTTATTACAGTTTCTCCGCACCAAAAGCTTTAAAAAATCACTCGCTTAATATTTTGATTAAACTAAAGCATACAAAAATTATAATAATGCCTCGTTTGATACTGATTGAAAACTTTTAACGAATGCCCTCGAATAATGGAAAAATTTATAAAAATCAAAACTTTAAAATTCGTCTAAAATCGTCTTTTCCAATTTCAATGTAAGCAGAAGAATATCACGTGGCAGGATTTGTGTTGCATTAACATTTACCAAAAACTTCACTTCTATCGAAAAATATGCAAAGTTTTAACCTGCAATCAATGATTACTTTTCGACCAAATTCAATCCAAATAATTACAAAATTAGTCTCAATTGTAAGAGGTAAATGCAAACCGGTGTATATTATGTGAATAGTTTCAGAATTTCATCCCCCGGAGTGGGGAGTGACGTGAAAATTACGACCTTGAATTCATTCCTTGTATACAGTGTTTCAGAATTTCATCCCCCAGAGTGGGGAGTGACGTGGAAATTGAGTTACAATGTGAGTAAAAAGTTCATATTTGGGATCTTTAGAGGCCTGGATCACAACTTTTGCCTGACGATTTTATATTTCTATTCAATAGACGAAAATAGTTTTCCTGATTACTACTCTATCAATGATGTACGAGATTTGTTATTAATTCGATTTTAAAAGACAGGGTGAAAAAATTGGCTTCAAAGTTAGAACATTTATTAGGTAAATATTAGCAAGTCAACAAATTTCCACTATACAGCGGAGGACGCATTTATCCAACATATTATTTATATAATTTATAGAAGATAAACGGAGTGAAACTGAGGATATTTTCACAAATAAATGGAATGGAAAAAAAGAGGAAATCTCTTAGAGGAGAAATTGTGCGAGCTGAAGAATATATGAGCCTCGAGCTCCACTAAAGAAATGTAAAACTTATAAAACCGTATAAAATGTTAGCCAATCTTAAGATTAAGATGAAATCTTAGAATAAACCGTAGCAGAAGTATCGGTTTAGCTTAGGGAATCGGAATTATTTTCATCGGTAAAATGATAGGTTTCGCTGTTCATTTTCAATATTTTCCAGCGAATTTTAACTACGAAAAGCGAATTTTAACTACCGACGACGACTCGTAGACGGAGGACGACGAAGGCGGCGCATCAGCGTGACCGTGGACTACGACGTCCTAAACTCATCATAAGGTCATAAGGTACATGAATCTGTACTTATCCATGCGTGACAGTCAAATGACATTTAGGATTTATTATTTATAAATTAACTACCATAGCTGAGTTTAGCTAGAATATCGCACGTCTTATTTAAAATTCATGATTTGTTATAAAAGTTAACGAGAGTCGTTGCAATGAGAAAAACGGACATCGTATTGAACATATTAAGATTAAATGAACATCAAGACTAAAGGCATATCAATGTTGATTATTAATAAGAATTTGCGTTCCTATTAATTATCACCTTCATTATTATCGGACATTCAAATGGGATAAAACGCGCTTGAAATTGCAAGCAAACATTGAGAAATGTTTGGCCTGTTCGAAAATTTCAATGACATGGCCACCGCTTTAGCTAAACAGTACGAAACTTTCGGTGTACAAAATGCTAACGCTGCTCTAAAACTGTACACTGTAAGTACCTAATGTACTAACGTCACCGCACAGCTGTGTACCTGCTTGGTGAATACCATTCAATTGTGTGAATACCGTGTTATTCAATTGTGTTGTTGTTCAGTTGTTTTTGTTGGGATGGTAAGAAAAAATATTTATGTTTCATGTGATAAAATTTGCACAAAAATTCATTTCCTCATTTAACAATCTATTTCAAGAGTATCAATTAATATATATTCATGTGACACGTAAAAATTATCTCACTACGCCCAATAATTTTCATCTCGCCGTAAAAACCTTATCTTTTCGATGTCAATTGGAAAATTTTAAGATAATTAGGAGAAACAAAAACATTAAAATTAAATCAAACTTTTCGTGATATAATTATGAAGTACAATGAGTGTAATGGTTAATTGAGAAATTCTCAGTGATTTTTTTTTATAAAATTGTAAACGCTACCAATATTGCAATCAATATACAAGAAACCTGAATAGATATTTGGTAGAATTATACACTTTCAGGATAATGTCGACACTGTATATTTGGCAATGATGTGTGATCTCTACATAAATAAATATTCCCCCGTTTTATATTACACAAGGTCTTTCAAAATCATGTTAACCTTTTACTTATAGAATTAATTATGATTCCAAATTATGTTATAACAATGGTGACTTTTTTAGTAATGCAGCGGATGCCTGTAGTTACAATGTGAACTTATTTAATGTTATATATATGAAATTTGGCTGGACGACGGACATCTGACGGCATCTTTAACAACAAGCTAGCAACAACACTACGAGCTAAAATTATAACAGTTATTATCATTCAAGAACAATTATTCGAAACTTCTTTATAAAGCGACTCTATTCCTACCATTGAAAGCTGAAGCTCATTCCATATGGTAAAAAAGACAGCATTCTTTTGCTGCCGGAAAAACATTCATGTTGCGACAGAGTGAGGCATGACAGGCGTGAAATTTGGAATTAATTTGGATATAAATACTGAAGTATGAAATTTGAAGATAAGTAGCATTGATAAGATTAAGATCTTCGGGCACTTACGAATAATGGACGAATATTGTTCAACGTCAGAGACTGACGTCCGTTTTACTACGTAGCCTAACATCTGGTCCATGAGAGGAAGAAAAGCATCCTGGGTCATTCCCCTGGCAATTATTAATATTTTATAGTAAAATGTCGAGAAAAATTGAAAAGTTTTACATGATAAATGCAAGATTTCTCCGCAGAATTGCATCACAGTTGTCTTGAAGAGTAAGCAAGCCAAGATAATTAGCAATATCCATTCTAGGGGAGACTTATAAAAATTAGTGGATACACTTGCCGATGAAGAAACAGATGACGATAATACTTTGCCTGCAGAGGACGATTCTCCATCGCCTCCACTCACGGGAACGCGATCAGATCCTCTATCGTCTTCCCCGATCTCATTGTCCCAGAGTTCTTCGTCTTCCAGCCGTTGCCGCGAATTGGAATCGGTGATTTCTGGCACCGATTTATAAGAGCGGGAGTCTTCCTTTGCCTGCGCCGAATCGTTATTTGTCTTGGCGCGAGTGGCGTGGTCACCCGCGGGTGATTGGGTGACGGTGAGCAGGATGGGGGCGGCGCTGGCCGCGTGGGAGCTGCGCGCCACCAGCAGCCATGAGCCCGAGTCTTTGTAGGCCGCCGCTGAGACGCCAAGGCCGTACACTCGGCACCCGTCCGAGGAAATCTGACATGGGGGAAAGACCTTGAAAATTAGCGAGAAATTATTGAAATTTTAATGGTATAAAATTAAAAAGATCACCTTTTCACCAGCAAACAATCATTTCGATAAAGCACTACATTTATAATCCACCATCGGTACAATAAACTATTTCTGCAATTGCAAAGCACCAGCAGGAATCACGAACTACCCGTAAAATAGACCACAGGCACAAAATCACGCGATAATTCAAAATTAAACAGAATAACATTCAGAAATATAACAATCAACCATCACCCTAGAAAAAAAACTCTCAGTCGCAGCAAAGAACCACCAATATAACAAACTATCATCACCACAACAGTTGACCACTACCCCAACAATCATCCACTGCCACAACTGTCATCACAACCACATCAATCAAGCATCACACCAACAATCAATTACCGCCGTAATATTGCAAAGCCGGCAGTCAACAATCACGTTAAAAATTAACCACCACAATATTCATCACCACCCTTGCAATCAAAAATCATATCGGCAATCAACCACCACCACAATATTCATCACTACCCTTGCAATCAACCATAACGTCAACAATCAACCACCGCCGCATTAATCAACCATAATAATCAAGTTTCCCCGCCCTTCTGCCCAAAAACTGTACACTGCAAGTACCTAATGTACTAACGTCACCACACAGCGTTGTACTTGCTGAGTGAATACACCCTCGTGTAATTCAATTGTCTTGTTGTTCAGTTATTTATGTTCGGATGGTAAGAAAAAATATTTATGTTTCATATGATAAAATTTGCACAAAAAAATCCGGGGACTCACGGTAATGTTGTGCGCAGTATAGCGCCCGCGTGCCTGGCCCGGCGCGAGGGGCGGTATGGCGCGCTGGGGAGCGACACTAATCAACCACAATAACAAAGTTCCCCCGCCATGTCATCCGTGGACTCACGGTTATGTTGTGCGCAGTATAGCGTCCGCGCGCCTGGCCCGGCGCGAGGGGCGGGATGGCGCGCTGAGGCGCGAGCCACAGCACCTCCACCAGCGGCGTGAGGCTGCACACGCGGGCGGACAGCAGCAGGGAGGCTCCCACAGGGCGGCTCATGGACGATGATACTGCCTCGACCACGGGCGCGTCTTAAGGGAGGTGTTTTTATTAAAAATATTTGTTAGTAAATATCAATATATTTATCAGTATTTATTAAAAATAAAATATTTTATAGAAGACTAAAATCAGTTCTGAATTTTTCACAACTGATTATTTTTTATTGATTTCCTTCATTTGGGCGGATTTTTTGAGAAAAATTGCACAGTGATACGGCATTAAGATATATTACACTAAAAATTGAAAAATAGGATTTCTTTCCTGGCCCTTTAGTCGGATTATTATTTGAATATAATAAATGGAAAATTTCCTCAGTTCGCGATGAAGTTTCTCAATAAGGTAAGCAGAGCTGCATGGAGCAACTCAATTTTCAAAGTCATAATGAAGTTAATATGGGGAAATTTATTATAAAAATTAACTAAAAAAAATTTAACGATCCCCTAGCTGATAATTGGGTTAATAAATTCCATGAATTTCGGCTAAAGCATTTTCTAGTCGCTTGAAAAGAGAGATAAATATACTATAGAAAATAAAAATTCGAAGGGATCTGTGAATTACTAATTGAAATTTAATTCTAGAGGTGAAACGCTTTCCCTTCCAAAACCAACAAAAAATTTATTTAATTTAATAATTAATTGATATCAAGCAATAACGTATAATATTACTACTAAGCGAAGACACATTAATATAATATTGCAAGTCACATTTATAATATTACTACTGAGACAGACTTAAAAAAATCGAAATTCTTTTTTGAATTAGTAACGGTTTACTTTTTACACAAATCGAACAATATTCATACATCTGCACTAACCTGTAATTATTACTACTGAGAAAGACTTAAAAAAATCGAAATTCTTTTTTGAATTAGTAACGTTTTATTTTCTAACACAAATCGAGAAATATTCGTTCACCTGCACTAACCTGTAATGACGAGCTTGACTGGCCCGTTGTTAACCTGATCCTCGTCAGGAGACCTGCACTGATACACTCCTGACTCCCCCTCCTCCTCCTGAGGATGCGACTTGCCTGAAGAAGGCACCGAACCTGCGCACGTATATAGTAAAAAATTATTCGTTTTTAACTGCTCTGAGTTTTTTTATTTATATACTGTATATTTAAAGCTCTCTCGTAAAGATTGTTTTATAAATATTATATTATTATTTTACATAACTTGTACTAGTATATTGTCATGCATTGCATTATGCTGTTAAAATTGTGAATGATAATGCAGATCAGAAAAATTGAAGAATCATATTGTCTAAATTGTGACACCGCGTGATCAGAATGACCCACAGAAACAATAGTGGGTCAGGATGACTTAATTATACAAGGTTGATCAATGTAGCGCTTTTCGGCAATTTCTCACTCATTTCTATGGGTGTATGCTTGAGCTACATCACAGCGTTGATGATATATCCCCTCACCTGATATATCCCCTCACCTGATATATCCCCTCACCTGATATATCCCCTCACCTGATATATCCCCTCACTTGATATATCCCCTCACCTGATATATCCCCTCACCTGATATATCCCTTCGCCTGATATATCCCCTCACCTGATATATCCCCTCACCTGATATATCCCCTCACTTGATATATCCCCTCACCTGATATATCCCCTCACCTGGAGTAAGAATTCTCCCCCAGCACACCGGGGAAGAGGGTAGGATGACATTAGAGGAACCAGAGCTTGTTTCCCCGATACTCCCACGAGGGGAACTTGGGACGCTCGACCCTCGGGTTGAGTCAGATAACACAACGGGGGTTGAAGTTCGGGAGGCTGGGGAACAATGCATATGAAAGTTTTTCCAAAATAAGGGCAGAAATAAATTAATGTCTTTTTAATCTGCCAACTGGTCTGATTTCTGGATAGACATGTAAGAAAAATCCCATTAACTACGAGAATAATTTGAACAATAGTAGGTAAATGGACCAGTGACTTAACAAGTACGTAATTCGTAATTCCTTTTGACGCTGAATATTAATAATTTCATAGTTCAATAAATCCCCCGTTAAAATTATGGTTAACAAATTTTTAAATAAAAATGGATATGGTAAAATTAGCACATGAAGTAACGAACAAGGGAAATACTCCGTTTTTACACTCACGTTGTACGTTTATGAAGACCGAGTTGGAGGAGTAGTCGCCGAAAGAATGTTTCGAGATGCACTGGTACCAGCCTCTCTCAGCCTCACCCACGTTAGTCAAATTAAGCCATCCACCATCCCCCGCTTCCAAAAAATCTTCGGTTTTATGCTCATGGTCTTCGACGTCATCTTTTTCGTCTCCTTTGCTTCGTCCGACTCTAGACTGAGCGAAGATTGGCAGCGGCCAGTCATGAAGATGTGTGAGAAAAGTGCCAAAGTCGTCTGTTTGGTGAGCTCTTTTCTTCTTTTTGTTGGAGCTAAGATGACCAGCAGCCACTTTAGCAATGCCAGACATTGAAGGGTCAACTATTGGGTTGAGAGGAAGAGTGGTGCTTGGTGGGGAAAAGGGTGGACGGTGGCCCAGCTTGCGCCGTGAATCGATACGGAGCAGTTTCGACGAGGTCGACGATGATGTCCGTTGACGATCGGGTATGATGTAACGCCGGTAAATGTGATGATTGTTTTTGTGTTTGTTGCGGTGAAGAAGGGGATTGTGGAGATGGTGGGAAGGAGGATATAAAAAATCATGATCAGGAGTTGGTTCTTGACGACTTGCTAATCATAGGTAAATTTCATGGATATTTATTCATCCGCACAATTTCCCGGTTATGTGTCGTAAATTATTTTATTAAAACGTAACTAGATTCAAAATTGATTTAAAATTAATGTTGAAATTTGTGATGGTATTTTTATTGGAAGGGTGATGAGTGTCCGAAGCGAAGAGAGGCATTCCAGAAATGTAAGAGTAAGAACAAACTATGTTAGGGAGATAACATGAACCGTTTCAAGAGGTATGAAATTTGGCAAAGATTTGTTAAAAACAAGAACTTATTTTGGTGAATGAAGAGGCCATGTAATTGAAAGAATCAAAAGTGTAATTTCACGCAAGATTTGCATGCGGAGGAAAATTGTCTCCACAAGAATTGTTAATTGGGGAAAAAGAAGGACAATGGGAAAAGATGGGGATGACTGGATGATCTTCAAATGATGTATGAGGGTTGGTATTTTATTATTTTGCATCATTTTTATTGATGATAATTATGCTGATGAGTCTAATATCGATTAAATCAATGATAAATCTTATTGACGCTCATGCAGGTTTAAATTATAAAGAGATTTTCATTTAAACTTCATCATTCATTCAAGGCTGCGCGTCATCATCAGCTTCCGCTGAAGATCAAGATCAATCAGTGTAAAAACATTACCCATTGAAATATATCTTTCATAGGAACATCAGCATTCATTCATAATTTATTTTTTATCCCTATGGATAGATCCATTAGAGAGGATTTATTCATGCACCAGGCGATTCATTCACTCTTTACTCATTATCCACGTCACGGGGTTCATTCATGCCGATCCCTACATCAATGTGTAGGCTAATTCATTCCAAACCCTTTTCTATTGACTTTAGGACGTTCATCCACTCTTCACCCATGCTTTGGGTCGAGATTGAGTCCTTCGACCTGACATTTCGCCCTCGGGGGTTGCGGAGAGTTCTACCATGCCTCACCCTATGTACAACCATGTGGGATTAAGGGGAAATTCATTCTTCACCCTCTGTCCACGTTAGATTTAGGAAGGGAAATTCATGCCTCACCCAGTATCCATGTTAAAACTAGGAGGGGGAAATTCATGCCTCACCCTTTATCCACGCAGGACTTAGGAAGGAGAAATTCATTCCTCACTTTATCCAGGTGGGATTTAGGAGGGGAAATTCACGCCTCACCCTTTATCCAGGTGGGGGACGAAGGGGGATTAGCATCCACTATACACTGCAGTCCCACGTCGCTGCCACTCGTCACCGGCACGCCCCAGCCCGGCCACCGTCGCAGCGTAAAGTTTGGGGGGTCTGGATGGTACAAATAATAAAAGATTAATAAATTTTGAAATAATTCGTTATTATTTTTGTAAAGATTACACTCAAGCAGCTTACTAAAATTTAATGCTGAATTAAACTTTAGTGTACTATTTTTGCTGGTACGCTAGAGTGTGAAATACTGCAGTATACTCCATTCGTTCTTCAGAAGAAAATTGCATTCGTATAAGATAATTAATAAATTGTGTTTGAGAGAAGCGATAATTTAATTAGAAGTGACGATACATAGATAAAATAAAGCAAATTCAGACGCCGTGTTTTGGTAGAAAAACAAATTATTTAAGCAAGTGCAAATTTCATATAATATTGTGTACTTAAATTGTACTCAAGATCGAGGTCGGCGTTAAAATGACTGGAAAAATCATAAAATTTATATTATTTATAATGTGACGCATCATATTCATCATATTCATGAAATGACGCAAAGAGACGATTCTCCAAGCGATTTATTTAATTTTGTAGTGAAGGAAATTTTTTTCAATAGGAGTAAATTGATGTGATTGTATATGATTATAAAGGAGTCCGAATATTAGAATAGGATTGCAAAATTTGTTCCATTTAGACAAGTTTGGTTGAAAATTATAAATAAAACACTCTGCCTGGTCTTCAGTCAAATTTTTCTATGTTATATAAGAATATATCAAACAATTACTTTTCATGTGTTGTGTACAATTTCTCAATTTCATAAATTCAAATATGAATGTATGAATTTTGAAGGTTTGGGCCTGTTATGAGAACTTCATAATAAACATGATAAAATAAGAAAATTTTAATTGTGTCTAAATGAGAGCAGGCGTTTGTTTTATTTTGAGTCCGAATTGTCATATTTCTCTATAAAATTTAATTCAAAACAACTCAAAGAGAACCGACACACGAAAGAGTTACAAAAATGGCAGGCGAAAGAGTGAGAGAAAGAGATTCTAATGTAATATGAAAAATACTTTTCCTGTAGCTCATACGAGCGTGCAAGAAATGCCCACTTCATTAAGTTGCAAAGAATGAGCTGGAAAAGTGCCACAGCAAAGGCTATGCAAATGAAGGCTCGTTGTTTTACCGAGACACAGACACGACAAAAACACGCTAAGGGAGCATGAGATATTGGCTTGAGCTTTGCCTTTGATGAGCCCTCGCTCTCGACTGCCAGTGAGGGCTCATGTGAGGCGCCCGAGGGAAACTCGAGGGGTAACTCTTGGAAAACTGATACGATGAACAATGCCAAATAGAAGCATGGAATACAATGCGCAAAAAAGTCTTCCTGAATATAGGGATTGAGCTATTATTGGGAATATTTCATCCAGGGATCATTTTATTGTGGAAGGACGTTTTCAGACATTGTCACTTTGAACACTGCGACAAGAATGGAGACATTGAGATACAATGGTGTATTTATAGAAAATTTATAACAAGAAAACCATGTAAATTCTTAGGGATATTTAAGGATGTTTAAATACATTCACCAGATACCATGTACTCAGGGACGTTGAAAAATTGACAGAAGTTGAAAAACTCGCAATATGTTAATTATGATACTGTTGGAGTCTAATGAACTATGCCCACGGAAGTAGAAAAGAATAAATTAACAGTGAATGGATTGAATTTAGTTCACACTTTCCAACACAATAAATTAATGTTAAGCTCATTATTGCATGTCATCGTAATAATTTAATTCACGAAAATCGAATTTGATGCAATTAGTGTAATGTAACAAATTTGACTTTATTGTGACTTTTGCACTATTCAACTCAGATTTATAGATAAGTTTTTATTTTTAACCATTCATTGAAAGAAAATATAAGAATAAATCTCCTAGAAATAAAATTCAATGAAATTTTGCAGTATTAATGAAAGCACAATTGAAATTTCTTCATACAAATTCATTTCGTTTCTTCACATAAATCGTAAAATAATTTGTATGAAGAAACGAGGTTCTAGACCGAAAAAAGCACTAAAACAACGATGATTCGGAAAGAATTCAGAATGAAATTGCTTGCAAGTTCTTTTTGAATATATGTTTTTCCATTCAGGATTCAATTCGAAAATTTTTTATAGATCAAAAGCAAATCACACTTAAAACGAACCGAAATATTTTAGAACTCAAACATAGTGAGATATTTTTGAAGCTCAATAGAATAGAATTTTGTAATCGGTATTTAAACTTGAAGATATTCTGGCCCGAGAAAAGTCGAGCATATTTATCATTAATTTTTATTATTCTGAATATACAAGTTAACTTTTAATTTATACTAAGGTAGATACGCCTTATCAGAATTTTGAGTTTTCACAAAATATATTTCATGTTTTAATCGCACGGCAATGTTCGCTTGTTTGAAGGAAATAGTTTTCTCAGTGTCAAGTGATGATTTCGAAAGGATATGATTTATTCAGATAAGAAGAGTGCAAAGTTGAGTACGTTTCGAATATGAAATAAATATAGAGTTGATTTCATATTCTCGAGGAGAAAATTACTCACCCAGTACGAAAGAGTTTCATAAACTCAAAAATTGCAAAACGGAAAGGATAATTTTTTAATTGAATGAAAACTCTTTGGTGTTGAACACCCTTCACACTGAATGTTGACCACCACTCACACTGGATGTCGACCACCACTCACACTGGATGTTGACCACCACTCACACTGAATGTTGACCACCACTAACACTGAATGTTGAACGTTGCTGATGGTGATGTTGCTGATTGTGCTGAACTGTTGCTCCACGCCTCTCCACTTGCTCTCCACCTGCACCAATCAGGCACCAAAGATTAATAGTGCAAGCAACTACAGCTGCGCAAATACAAATTCTCAAATTTACAAATAACAATTTTAGTACATGAAAATTTTCCAGCAAACAATTCGTGAATATATCTCATGTAATGAATGCACTAGGAATTATACAGAATTAATTCTTGTCTAATTACTATATTACCTACATTGCTTATAATAAATTAAGAATTAAAAATTATAAAATAAAGCACAATCATATGAAAAAAGGCTAATTTACACGAAATCAAAATGAATTGTTAATAACTCATTAAGCAGTTAATAAAGTCATATCTGGTAATAAACGTTTTATATATAATGATAATAAATAGTTGTGTAGACGTTAACTTCTTAGCTAAAACCCAACGTCATCTATACTTAGAGAGAATAAATTATTTCGCTATTGCGATCGAAAAAGTTTATTATAAAATTGAGTAACTGTTTTAACTTAAATGATATTATAAATCATTAAGGTAATGGTTGATGATAAATATTATTATTTTATTTTATTATTATCTTACGTATTAATATAAATTATTAATAAATTCTAATGCATACTATATAATATAAAAAAAATAAAAAATTAATAACAATAATAAATAAATAATGATCAATAATAAAAAATTATTAATAATAATAATTTTTTTATCGTATAATTTAAATGCCGTGCGAGAAAAATTTTTTATCGTATAATTTATAAGCCGTGCGTGACAATTTTTTTATCGTATAATTTATATGTCGTGCGAGAAAATTTTTTATCGTATAATTTATAAGCCGTGCGTGAAAATGTTGTTATCGTATAATTTATATGCCGTGCGAGAAAATTTTCTATCGTATAATTTACATGCGGCGCGAGAAAAATTTTTAACATATAATTTAAATGACGTGCGAGAAAAAAATTGTATCGTATAATTTATATGCCGTGCGAGAAAATTTTTTTATCGTACAATTTATATGCCGTGCGAGGAAAATTTTTTATCGTATGATCTATATACGGTTTATACGGTTTTTTACGGTTTTTATCGTGTAATTTATATGCCGTGCGAGAAAAATTTTTCATCTCATAATTTATATGCCGTGCGCATATTTTTTTTTTAATTTCGTAGAATAGAGAATTTTTTTGATTTATTTATATGCCATGCGATATTTTTTTGTAGAATTTATAATATCCTAATGAATATATGGCTTCAGTTCAGAGAAATTAAAGGCGGATGTACAAGGAGCAAAAAATTTACGCGTTCTTCGAAGTTATAATTAATTATCGTGTATTTGACTCTAATCTAGGGATAAGAAATGATGTGCAAAAAACCCTGCATTTTATTAGTAGAATTTATACTTTTCTTTTGTGTATATTATGTCAAAGGAGGATGGCAGACGAAAGACGAATGAAAAATGTACATTTTTTGTAGTATCCAATTTAGATTTCCTTTTGCAAATGCAACTTTAGTTCTGTGAAATTCATAGGCAGAGGAGGACTGACGGAAATAAATTTAACGTTTTATCGTAGGATCAAATTTAGAAATTCTTTTTGCGTATAGGACTTTAATTCAAAGAAATTCTATATCAGAGACTAATAAAAGAATGATAGATTACCAGCCAACGGCTCATCTAACGTAAGTAACGTTGATAAAACGTCTTTTCAACATCATTTAGCGTTTCATTTTAACTTTATTTCAACTGAATTGATGTGCGAAAGAATTTATTTGTTTCACAATGTAAATACAGATGTTTGTATTTCAGGTTAAATGTTTAATGAGGGTCGTTTCAACTTCATTTAGCGTATCATTATTATTTTCAACTTCATTTCAACTGAATTAATGCGCGAGAGAATTTATTAATGTTTCAGGATGTAAATACAGATGTTCGAGTTTCAGGTTAAATGTTTAATGAGGGTCGTTTCAACTTCATTTAGCGTATCATTATTATTTTCAACTTTATTTCAGCTGAATTGATGTGCGAGAGAATTTATTTGTTTTTCAGAATGTAAATACAGATGCTTGAGTTTCATGTAAAATGTTTAATGGCGAGTAAAGTGCAGCTCTCTTTTGACCTTATTTTCAACTTTATTTCAACTGAATTGAAAAAAATATATGCGAGAGAATTTATTAATGTTTCAGGATGTAAATACAGATGTTTGAGTTTAAGCTTTAAGTTTAAATGACGTGTAAGGTGGAGCTCACTGGTGACGATGAGGCTGAGTGGCGGCTCAACTGAATTAATGGGCGAGAGAATATGTTAATGTTTCAGGATGTAAATACAGATGTTTGAGTTTCAGGTTAAATATTTAATAAGGTGTAGTGTAACTCACTAGTGACGATGAGGCTGAGTGGCGGCTCAACTGAATTAATGTGCGAGAGAATATATTAATGTTTCAGAATGTAAATACAGATGTTTGAGTTTAAGCTTTAAGTTTTAATGACGTGTAAGGTGGAGCTCACTGGTGACGATGAGGCTGAGTGGAGGCTCAACTGAATTAATGTGCGAGAGAATTTATTAATGTTTCAGGATGTAAATACAGATGTTTGAGTTTCAGGTTAAATATTTAATAAGGTGTAAACTACAACTCACTGGTGACGATGAGGCTGAGTGGAGGCGACGTGTTGCCGTTGACTGTGCACCGCCACACGCCGCTGTCCGCGCTGATCGCGTGGCTGATCTCCACGCGATACAGATGTTTGAGTTTAAGCTTTAAGTTTTAAAGACGAGTTAAGTGTAACTCACTAGTGACGATGAGGCTGAGTGGAGGCGACGTGTTGCCGTTGACTGTGCACCGCCACACGCCGCTGTCCGCGCTGATCGCGTGGCTGATCTCCACGCGCCGCGTCTGCGCGTTCACGCGCACGCGTGTGTCCTGCACCACCTGAACGCGTGTAAAAAAATAAATGTATAAAAGAAAATTATTCAAATAAATCAATTTGAAAGAGATTTGTGATTCCTTTGACTTTTTTTTTGGTCATGAGCTGTTGGGAAAATCTTATAGCGAATTTGATGCAAAATTAATTATTAATTTTACCGTAACTTGTTGTCAAACAATTGATGAAAGCGGAATACGCATAATTTGATAGGCATAGCAAGAAAGAAAATCTTTGACCTAGATAGCCTTCATCATAAAACCAATGTTGGAAATTGCTCTGATCGCAAAGTAGTAATGCCCATAATTGACGCAATATATTCCCACATAAATGCAGCAATTGCCACATCGCGATGTACCCTCACCAGTTCACCGTCATGGTACCAGCGTACCACGTCTCCTCCTCTCTCTTTCTGTCCACTGCGGCCAGCGCTGCACTCGATGGCCACAATCTGTCCTCTGACCACCAAACGTTCCTGCATGGCCGTACGTTGCTGGACGTCTTCGAAGAGCAGTTCATTTGCATGCGTCGAGACGTTTACTGCGACGTCGAATTCGACGTTCGACGCTCGGTGAGAGCGAGTTGGTACGTCGCGAGAATACGTCGATGTCAGGAGGCCGGAGCCAGCTGCGTCTAAAAAATTTTGTCAGGATTCTAGCCAACGTTTTACGTCACGGTAAATTTTTTTGCAGTCTCTCAGTTGGTTCTAATTTTAATGCTAAAAAATACGTTATGCTATATAAATACGTAAGTTAATATTACATGTGCTCTCAACAATACGGAAATTGAATCAAAGTTCACGTAAAGAATGAAATGATGACTCAAATTTCACGTGAATTGATTCATATAAAATTGATTCATATAAAAACTTACACTTTGAGCTTTATATTTTAACGAAGTAATTTTCACCAAAGTTCCAAGTATCATAGTCTAAAAATATTATGTTAAATGAGTAATTTCAATAGATAAAGAGATTAGAACGTCTCAGTGTAAATCGAACAATTAAAAATGACTTTGTCAACAAACATACTTAGTTAAACAACGCATGCGGAATCACTACTAATTTAATATAAATTTCATGTATTGTAATGAACTAGGAGCTTCCAAATGGCTATCATTTTAAGTCAGTATTCTGCCAAGCGTTTGGTAATTCAGTTAAAATGAAATAAAATCCAGAAAATGAATAATTATTTCAAGGCATAATCACAATTAGTGTTTTCAATGACTTAGAAATATTTAACGTAAGAATTTACACTATATATTGTTTAACACTTCACACTCACCAGTCACTGAGGAAAGAAGCGCAAGCAAAACGATGAGTGGGAAATAAGAAGAGGACAAAAAAGGAAACTTGGTTTTATGAGTGGCGGGGATGAAATTGATGGATAAAAGGTTCAATTTTTCTTTCGCATTGATTTCCAGGTCGAGGGATCTGAAGTTTTGTCGTGGACGTCGAGAGGAATTTTTAGGCCGCCTTTTGTCCGATTGGTTAAGCGAATGGAATTGTGTTTTTCTGTGAAACATAATTTCTTCATTTGCAGTAATTCCGCCCATTTCAGAATTTTCGTCTATTTCCTTCAAACTATTTTGAGTTGTTAAATCCCGCTTATTATTTTGACTCAAGAAATTTTCTTTACAATGATCTGGTATTAGAATATTTTTGTTAAAATTTTTTAATCCGTCACTGAATTTTAAACTTTTCCAGTTTGGTTCTCTGATTTCCTTCACGATAAAATTTGCAATTCGGGGCTGGTTCTCGCCGAGGACGACACTCTGTTCGCCGCTAAAGTGACCAGGCGAACTGGAAAGTCGGGTGTGCCAGTTGACAAAAATGGTGAGCAGACGTTCCTTGTTTTCGGGGCTGTCGATATTACATGAAAGTAAGACTTTGCTTAAGACAAGGCTCGGTACGAGTTGTTTGTAGCAGCTGCTGCATGTACAGCAGCAGTTGGTGCAGCCGTAAGTCTTGTTATTAATGCAGCAACTGTTGTTGCAACAGCTGCTTCTGAAACGAAACTTCGAGACGTTGCTGTCGCTGTGCAAGTTTCGGTAAATGTTGCTGCTTTGGCCGCCGGCATTGTTGCAAGCTTTTGAATGAAATTCGCCGTTGTGATTTAAATCAAGTCTTAAAGTCTCATTATCAGTTCCATGGCTTTTTGCTTGCATAAAATTCCGATCGATGATATTAAGACACTGTTGAGAACGAACAATTTTATAAAAACAATGTTCGATGTTTTCACAAAAGTTGTGGCGACATTCTATTTCAGAGTTCTGATGAAATACACGAAGATTGTTGACACTAAGATATCTGTATTCGTCTTCTGAATTTGAAACACTGAAAAGTTTATTTCTAAGAGTTGCAGAGAAAATCATTCTGTGGAAGCTCAGAAAATTAAAGATAGGAAAGATTTCTGTGAGCGGAAGGTTCAGAATCTGCCGGAAGAATATAAATTAAATAATGGATTAGTATATACCGGGAATTATCGCCCACCTAAAATGTGAAAGAACTCCCCCGACCCCCCCTTTTGCAAGCTGTCGTGAACGCATAAATCAACGTACAGAGATGATTTTGGTACCGTTGGATAGAGCAGAATGTCAGCTTTAAGATGAGACTAAAAACCGGAAAAGCCAAAATTCAAAATTTTACCCCAGACGCTCCCCTTAATTATGGGATGATCAGAAAGGAATTTTTTCTGATAACGAAATAATTTAATTATTATCACAAGGAACCAAGCATTTCAGCAAACAAATTATCTCCCGATTAAAAAAGTTAAGATGGAAAAATCTGAAGTTAATCTTAAAAAGCCGAGAAATCCCTTGAAACTATTTAAGTAATTATAAAGAAAGCTTTAGGTTTCTTTAGGCAAAATTGACATATGATTCTGTACAAGCACAGTTTAATGTGTTTGTAAGTGAATTCTGTAACAAAAATTGAAGATACGAAATTGAAAGTTTGTACGTGAGCTCATAAAAATGTCATTTCAAATTCCATATTGTAACAAATCGGATAAAAATCAGACAAGGCATAAAACAGGCATAGACAGGTAAAAACATGGCTTATAATATATCATAGGAAAAATATGTTAACTTTAAAATACAAGAAAGTTGTAAATTCGTATGCCGAGGTAGTACAGTAAGTGTACGTGATACATATCCGACAGGCGCTGACGAGATTGACTATACTTTCGTATTGAATATTAGGGGTCGAAAATGCTTGTAATTGATAAACTTCAACAATAATTTTTTTTAGTTCTGTTGCGGACTTCCGAAGACTTTTTCCAGTAAAAACGTTTTAATTTTTGCCTCTCAGGGAGACCTTATCGAGCATTTCCAAGCTATATTGTATTTCATTTCAGAGAAACCACGAAAAATATTTCGTTCTATCCGCTCAAACTTTATGCTCCAAAATTACCGCCGTCGAATTCCAAACCCTGTTAGATCCGAACCCTGCCCTAAATTACATCCAATTTACCCCACTCAATCCCCCGATCAAACGCCTGGAGCGAATTAACTACAGGCTCAAATTTACGACCATGAAGGCCCAGGGTAAATTCCCCTAAATTGGCTCTGGAGGAAAATTTTTCCCTATGCCCTTGACGGGCGACGTCCAGAGAATAAAAAAAAAGTGCCCCGATCGATGCCAAGTTGATGCGGTGCCAAGCTCATGCCCAGAGTAATCCACGAAAATCAGGCAAAGAATAAATAATAATCCATCACAGATTTTAAGCCTCAATGATTTGCTTAATACATGAGCCAGCGTTCGTGAAGAATAAAGCAACCAGCACTCTCTCGATTTAAAAAATCTTAAAATTTACAATAAGTTGATGTATAATTTTAAATTTGTATTACAAATTTCGAAATTTTGAGTAAATAATTTGTGGTTAATTTTGTATTTGACCATCGGTTACCCAAATTAACGTAAGTTCTTTCCACAGCTATTTCACTTACTTTCAATTTTTAACAGTGTTACGTCAACAATAAGCAAAACCGTGCTTTTTTAATGTCTATTTTCACTGTTTCGTCGTCATTTTTGCCTTTAAGCGCCGCGAACAAGCTAGGATAAATGTAGAATTTTTTTCTCGCCGATGGAGTGGAAAACATCGCATGCTGTTGCGCAACAATCCTAACAACTAATTGATGTTGAGGGAAAATGAGGCAATTAATTGTTGTTTTTAATTATTCGCTTCAAATAATTTGGAATTAGTTCTGCATAAAAAAAACATATTCAACAAAATTTAGTATAAATCAATATGAAATAAAATAGTCTCATAATCTTTCTGCTAAATAACTATAGCTGGCATGTAAAAACGTTTACAAACAGAAAGATCCTAACAAATGAAGCAACTGAAAAGAAAAATAAGCATTCGAGTTCTGCACCTACCAAATGCACACGACAACAACAACATACAACGTCCTTTATACATTTATAACATATAAATTTGCGATCAGAAGTAAAGAGAAGATCACCACACATGTCGATAGAGCCAAGTAAAAAACTATTAAACAAAAGTATCAAATAAATCCGAGTCGTCTTAATACTGAAAATTTTCGCATATCGTAAGAATTTCTTCGCATGCAGCCCACAGTTTCTGGCTGGCATTTGCAAAGCTTCTCGAAAAGCTCGGTCAATATTTGCCGACCAAGAAGCGAGCTCCAGCAATGGAGAGCGGAGTCCAGGTCTAATAAATGTCGCGTTGAGTCGACCAAGACAGCGTGAGAATCCAGAGACAAGTTCGTGACAGAGATTGCCGGCAACATACCCTGCCAAGAAAGATATTGCGGACGCTCACTGAAAACTCCTGATTTAGAAAGACGTCTGAGATTCTATAAGATCCGGTGAACTGAAAGTGTTATTGGCACTTCTTGAGGTTCGGATTCGGAAGAAAATATCGTGGTAAGAGATACAAGTGAGTTATCGACAAGTTTAGTGATCCAGGCTGCAATTCCTGATTTTGGAAAGACGGTAAAGTCTTTCGAAGAAGTGTAGTGCCAAATTTATTATACATAACTATGTATATAACATGATTAGCAACTCTGAAACCGAACGTTTAAGTTGACCGACTTTTTTACGTGAGCTGCATTTGAAGGTCAATGGACGGCTCATATATATTTTTCTCATCAGTTATTGGACTAATGCAGTTGAATTGTTTACACACGTACGAAGCTGATGACGATTAGTATCTTAAACAGTGATTGGCGAATGAAATACCATTATTATTTCACCTTTAAAGCGACGATATAAATCGTTTCTAATACCTAAAGATCAAGAAACGGATCACTACATTGAATGAAAGTAATAATTCGATAAACCCCATTAATTTTGTCGCTCCCAGTTAATTACTGGACTTTAATCTCCAGTGCAGCAAGTAATATAATTCTTAAACCTATCGTATTTTAAAATCACAATAGTTAACTCTTTGGATGCGGCACGATGTTCCAGCGCTTTCAGATGGCCTAAAAAAGGCCAAGTCCGCGAATTAAAAGGCTTATCATTCAAAATATTCTAGTAACCATGTAGGTTCCGGTGCAGAAATATAATTTTCCTCGTGTCCGAACTTTATAAAATTTACGAGATATTAGTGACATCAAATATTTTTGGTGAAAAACGCAATTAAAAAAAATAAATCTTTGAATTTGTTCGGCCACGGCCAAAAAACTAAATCGTTGAATTACATCTGGCCACAAACTCTTGATTTTCACCACTTATTCAGCTAAATTACATAGCCTACGAGGACCGAGCTCAATTATTAAAGTATAAATGAATAGCAGCAATAAACAGGAATAAGTTGTTCCAATCTAGTCCTTTTTCAGTTCGATATAATGTTAGGTCTTGTTTAGTTTTTATGTCTGTATTTGAATTTTGACTTATAAAATGATTTTATTCATTTTTAGTTTAGAAAAACTGATGATGGAGCTGGACTCCGGAACGTTTTCAATATCGATATGGTGAATTTTCTTGGCGTTTTCTTTGCTTTCAAATTCCTTGTGAACTTGCGATATAAGCAGACTGATAATATAAGTACTTAAAGTATAAATTTCCAGAATATATTAAACTTATTTCTCGCGTCTTTATTTGACTGGAAGGATTTATCCGACAATGGCGATTGGACCGTATATTCGTTGCCTTTCATGCTTGACACATAATTTTATCCCCGTGACAGTTTCATTTCTTAAACTATATTAAAATTTCACTATCAGAATCTAGTTTCACTTGCCAAGCAATCTTGTTTACGACAGCGTTGACACGAGTGCTGAACTGTTGCTCCACGCCTCTCCACTTGCTCTCCACCTACACCAATCAGGCACCAAAGATTAATGGTGCAAGCAACTACAACTACGCGAAAACAAATTTAATTTGTAAATAACAATAATACACGAAAAGATTTCAGGAAAAAATTAGTGGAAATATTTTATCTAATAAATGCTTCAGAGAATTAATTACGGAATTGATTCTTGTTTAATTATTACCTACATTCCTTGTAATAAACGAGGAATTAATAATCATAACAAATAAGTGCAATCAAAAGAAAAAAAGCCTAATTTGCGAGAAACCAAAATGAATCGAAACCAAATGACAAAAAAGACCCAAATTGAATAACTTATTGCGCAATCATTAAGGTCATGTCTTGTGGTGATAAACGTTCAATTTTTAATGATAAAAATAGTTGTGTAATCATTAACTTTTTAGCTATAAAACGTCGTCAATATTTACTGGGAATAAATTATTTCGCTATTGCGGTCAAAAAAAAAAGTTTATTATAAAATTGAGTAACTGTTTTGACTTAAATGATATTATAAACCATTAAGGTAATGGTTGATGATAAATATTATTAGGTTACATTAATACTATTTTATATATTAATGTAAATTAATAATAAATATCATCGAATATTATTAAATATAAAATAAATAAATAAAAAATATATCTCAGTACTCTCTGCAGTGAGTGAAAGAGAGCGCATTTTCTCGTCGACGAAAACTTGAGGTCACGGACAGACGGACGGACGGACAGACAGACAGACAGACAGATGGACATGGCGAGCACAATAGTGCATTTTTTCCATAAATGAGAAAATGCGCTAAAAATTATTACCAATGATAAATAAATAATGATCAATTAAAAAAAAATATTCATAATAATAATAAAAAATGATTAATAATAAAAGAGAATAAGAGCCTGAAGAGCAGCAATAAAACAGCAGCAAGTACCGTTGTGAAGAGAATAAGAGCCTGAAGAGCAGCAATAAAACGGCAGCATCGACCGTTGTGAAGAGAATAAGAGCCTGAAGAACAGCAAGAAAACAGCAGCAAGGATCGTTGTGAGGAGAACAAGAGCCTGAAGAGCAGCAATAAAACAGCAGCAACGACAGTTGTGAGGAGAATAAGAGCCTGAAGAGCAGCAATAAAACAGCAGCAAGGATCGTTGTG